CCAGCTCGCATTAGCAACGCTCACGGGGGCATTTGAGTGAACCCAAGCCCAGGTCCTGGATACAATTGCAATGCGTCCACAGCTCGGCTGCAAGAATCGTATCGAATCCGAGTCCCGGCGTGAGAACGTATTAGTCCGGTTATGGATTCCACAAAGAGTTTAGTGATATACGTTGGAGTTTATGATTCTCCTCCTGACCCCGTGAGCCTCTGGAAAGTAGACACGGACTCCTCGGACGCGTCTCCGTGCCTTCCATTGCGCTGCTATTCCCCTCCGGCTGTGGAACGAGCCACCCTGCCAAGCGTTGTTTACGATTGTTGAGACAAGCACAGCGGTGAACTGAACTTGAACTTCTTTCGCGCCGTACGCAGTTAGTCGTGCTTGTTGAAGGTGGGGTTTAACCCCCCCCCCCCCCCCCCCCGCTTCAAGATGCATAGATTGTCTCTTGCTTTCGGTCCCCCGTGGCCTATACTTGTTTTGTTTGGTGTACAGGGGTCTTGAGTACCTAGTAGAACGGCACTTCATAAATGTTATGCATTATTTATCATTAACCCCTCCTTGAAAAGTAAACGCATTGTTTGGTGCTACTACTGCATTGGCAGTGGTTTAAAGGTACAAAATGACAAAAAGAAGCTCAACACATTAATCACGAACACTTAATTAAAAGTTTTAAAAAATATGTAATGGGTGACATTTTCAACAACGACCCTTCTTCATGACGCACATTTTTTTAAAATGGTGTGTTCAAAAGACTGGTCGAGTTGTACCTTGTGTGGTGCGGGTTGCAAGGGGTTCCAAGCGCTGAGATGGCACCGCTGATATCCTGGATTTGATCTGAGCTATGCCCACGTGCAATTCACCTGGATCTCAAGTGCCCTGAGTTTGATGGTGTCATTTATTTATTTACTAAGTTTCAGTTCTGAGAATGAAAAAAAAATGGGTTGGGCTTCGATGTGGAAACATTCATCTCGAGCCAGGGCATCTCGAGTTGATGATAAAGTAAACTTCTACGGATTTCTAAAACATTTCCATGGTGCATCCTCTGCATGCCGTAATCGAACATTCCACTGTGGAAGTTCCAAACGTGGAAATTCCGTGGGTGCGTCGATCCCGATTATGCTCTCAATCAATGCCATGAATTAACGAAACCCTATTTGTAAAAGTGCCTCTGGAAACAGAGTTTTTATTATAACAAGTTTGTTTCGGAACATAACATCACAATGCAGAATAGTATTTTTTTTTTGAATTGCTACAAAGATGCCTCTATTACCCAGTGTTAAACAACGCTTCGTTAGAATTTGCATAAAAAATATACTATTCTCTACATGTTTCCAATTGTGCTGTCGGCATAATGCTTTTAGATTTCTGCAGCTAGTAGTGCATCACCCTGTGCCGAAGAACTACGAGTGAAATCACTTCAATAGGGCTCTACATCTGGCACCGCACATTGCGTATGCCCTGAGTGTTTGTCACTTGTCAATCAAACAGAAACCTTTAAGTCTCAGAACTGCATGCAAGCTTTAGCCAACGGTTAAAGAGTTGGTATTTACAAAAAAAAAATTGACAGGCCTCTATCGCTACAAATTGAAACGGTGGTGTTTTTTCAACTGTTCAAATGATGGATTCAGTGTCTCTCCACCAACACTGTATGTATAACGTGTGAAACCCTTGAGGGCGGAACAAATAGCAACACAAAACCATGATTATTTTATGATTGCATTGTGCAGCCCAGCTAATATCACAAAACACGCTACAATTGAGAACACGGGTAATGGTTAAATAATTAAACAAAGGCCATCGCCCCACGTAAATAATATATTTTCGCTTACAGTCCATTCGCCTATTGGCTTTACAGACTTTACAGACAATAGGCTAATGGACTGCTGCTACAGCAGTCGCAGTATTTGTCTTTGCAAGAAAACTCTGGGATGGTTTCACATTTCTCAGTCTTGTCAGCAGTTTCAGGCTCGTTGAATAAATGTCGTCAAGTTGACAGATGCTATTGGCCATAGCCATTGGTGATAATTCTTTAAACAATTATATAAAGACTCGCGGTGGTGTGGGTATATTTTTTTAGCGATACGAGTTAAATACTTAAACCCGTTAAATACCACTGAGTAGGCATACAATGCTACGACGATTCATTATTGTGCTCAGAATACATAAATAAAATAGTGCGAGTCACAATCAATAATTTACGATGCGTGAAAATCACATGCAAATTAATCTGTTTCATTTAGGCGAATAGAGCGAAAATTATACAAGCGAAATTAGTAAAAAAAATAAACGAGCCAAAGAACCGATTCTTGAATTCTAGTCGCACCAATCCACTGAAACGACACGACGATGAGCCAGTGCTGATACGGTGGTGAGATGTCAAATCCTCGCCTGGTATACAGGAGGTCGTGGGTACGATCCCGACCCTGACCTCTGTATATTTGGAGTTTGTGTGTTCTCCCAGTGGATTTGTCTGTGGGTCCTCCGATTTTCTCTCCACATTTAAAATCATGCGTTTAGAGTATTTGGCTGCTATAAATTTCCACATTATAAGCCACTTCGTTGAGCTATCATTTGTGGTCAGGTCGCTACTAAAAAAGAGCTTTCCAGTATGGCTCAGTTGGTCTTATCTGGTAAAATAAAACGTTTAGTTTCCGAACCACTAAAGTGATAAACCCACCAAATACGTAGCCGCTGATTATAGTGGTGACTTTTACATAAATTAGGGTTTTATTTAGCAAACTTCAATCGGATTGAAATTTGCCTGCAATACACGGAAGGGGTTTGACAAAGCGCAAACGTCGGTATAATCGAGCAACGGACGCGACAGCCTGAACCTGAATACATAGTTGGTGCGAGCTGGAACACGATGCACGATAGACGTCGGCAGATCGTATCGTTACTCACTCTGCTTGACACTGACTGTCGTGTCCCCCCGCCTTCAGTTTATGTATGAAGCGAGGTCACGCTATGGGGCTGGCAAGCAGGTGCAGCAATACAAAGCTGCGGTATATTTACCGGGTAAATATTGTATCGCTGAACTTGCAATGAAAATGAGTGAAAATAACAAACCGCATCTTCTACCTGCAGTATAATGTAAATAAAGTACAATATATTAATATATTGTACTGTGCAATATAATTGACCAATGTCGAGGTTTTTTTATATATAATCTGAGGAGCACGTGCATTGTGATTAATTAAATGTGCATGTACAACCCCTTTTGTCAATCCACTGCTGGATGAGGGCCTCTCCACACCGTGGGGGTCATTGGGGTTGTTTGACCTATACTTGCACCGTGCTGATAAGTGCGGCTTTGTGTAGGCATAGATGTGGCAGCCTTGAAGGCATATGCTCTACGTGGCAGCATTGAAGTATAGTACAACACTGCATATTTCTGCGTTGGATAAAAATAGCGTGTCCGTTATTTCACTGTGCCATGTCGGCCCGAGATATGTATGTGGTGTTTGGGGTGTCTCTATTATTGTCAAAGCTTAATTGTCACCGTCTTAATTCAATCTCGGGTTGCTATTGGCAGAATGGCTGCTGGCCCATTCCACAATATATCTGCACAAGATCGGAAAAGCCCATCGCCCGTACAATAGTCGTGTAGGACGACCACACGTTTCAAACAAGACACGGGAACCATGCTGGCTGGTAAAGTTTGGGGAGCGAGGGGGCAGGGGGGGGGATGAAACACCAAATCGGGTTTGGATATCACTCACCCCTGATATTATCCGTGGCCGGTAATCAAACACAGGGTTAGTAGCACAGTGTGCAAACCAGAGCACCACCGCTCCCACAAATTTGCCTCGGTGACAGGTACATTAATCGCAGTAACATTATTTAAACCAGGTCAGATCCTCATCTTCAGACCAAACGTCTTATTTTAATAGCGAGACCTGGGGTCCGAGCGACACTTAATCAGGTGCGATGTTGTGGAAATGTTTCAGCTGTATGTGGACAGCCCCCTTGGCTGGAAAATTTGCCACTGACAGTGCAGTTTTGCAAAGCTCGCTCATATCATGTACACGCATTATTAGCCACAGCAGGATATTGTGTGCTTCATGTCATAGAGCTCACATCATGATCATCATCGTCAGTCATGATCTATCCACTGCTGGATGAAGTCTTCCCCAAGGCAACCCCTTACCCCCCCTCCCCACTGTCTGAAAAATGCAAAGGTTGAAGCCAATTTCATAACTCCACCTTCACAGTGGATTTTCACGCAACTTGGTGAAATATAAATCATCTTAGATGTGCTGGTTGGTAGTCATCATTACAAGCAAGTGAAAAGATCGGCTTATGTAACAGTTTCATTTGAAAATTAACTCGCATTCTAAAGTAACCCGGCAGCACTGTTTTTGTCTTGAAAAGAGTTTGAATTTCTCAATTGGATTATAACCTTTGTTGAAAAATGCCGAAAAATACCCTGTGAATAACTCATTTGAGATTGCACAAAAGCAACATCGCCCCCTAACTGCGAAAACTCGGCAGGACCCTCCTGAAATAAGTCTTCGGATTCAACGAGGCCACCCTGGGTAAACCAGTAATCATTATTCTTATTTTAAGCTTGATCAAATGACATTTAGTTATTTGTCCATTTACAACCAACAACATCAAATCTGCAGGCGTGTCGAGGAATGCAAGACAATGCACACTGCCCACAATTGGAGACATAAAAAAACTACCAAACGCGTCGATTAATGAAAACCCCACTCACGACACCTTGCATGGGCTGTCTGACTGTGAGCATGAAATTGAGTCACAATAAGGCATTACTGTATGCATCCAAAGTATATTGCGATCCGATAATGTCAAAAAAATAAGACATGTATGATTAGCCCCTAAGGGAAGTCGGAGTCTCTTCATGTGACTGTTGGCATGTTGGGGCTATTTTGCAGAGAGAGGGAGGAGTGAGAAACTGGTCAGGTGAGTCAGGGGGTGGGGGAGGTTTGGGGCTGGTCTGCTGCCTGCCTGCCAACTTCCCTGAAACTGGCTCTTTGTGTGAGTGCGTGCGTGCGTGTGTGAGGGTCGGGTATAGCCCTGAAGATCATTCGGGTCTTCTCTTGTGACTCTACCGAGAGCGCGTTGATGGTATAGGGGGGTGGAGGGTTTTGTTAGTGACAAATACGCGCTTGGGATTCGTGAAACGTGGCAGAAATGACTTTCGGGGAAAGGATTTCTCGTCGACCGATGATTGTGAGTACATACCGTATTGTCCAGGGAATGTATATACGAGACTTTGAGAATAATCGTTTTCTTTAGAGAGTACAGTGAGGTACGTTTGGTAAGTCCAGCGTGTGGCTGACCTGTAGAGGTTACTGTTGGGTTATCTAAGTAACCTTTCACTTGGTATGTTGGATAAGACAACGTGTGAGTAATGTTAGCAAAATTGTTTGCTCAATATTTAAAATACATTTAGTAAATGGACGCTGATGAGAATAGTATCGCTGTATTCCTGACCCATTATGGCTTGGTACAAGGCTTACAATACTATATTTTAAAAAAAATCGACACCACATTTGCCAATAGAACTTCCTTATAACCGAAAAGAAACATTGTAATACGCTCAAGATTTTGCCAGTGCCACGGTTTTTTTGGTATTTTTTTGGAAGCTTGCGAAGAATAACTTATTTAGTGACTGTGTACAAAATGTGGTCACGTGGCTCAGCGGTCAGAGCACTTGGGGCTGACACCACTGAGATCCTGGTTATTATGATGCATTCCCAGACGGCCCGCGTGGAATATGGTTTGTGTAATAATGTTTTATATATATGTGGAGAGACAGACACATACCGTGTCAATCCATACGGTTTACCCCGTATTCCTGTACAGGGAAATTGAGTTTTCAGGTCCAGTCCAGAGGACGGTGCTCATCGCCTTAGTGGGTGAAAGCAGAGAGAGAGATGGTTGGGAGAAGGTGAACTCGGGAGAGGTGAGGAGGAGAATGGTGAAGGATGTATGTGGAACTTCTTTCGCACCGTACGTCGCCAACCCTGCTAATCGGAGGTGCTTGATGACGAATTGTGAAGACAATGAGAGAGAGAGAGAGACGATGGCGCGCAGGCGAATGAGAAGCCAATGTAGGAACTGGAGTATGTGTCATTTGATCTAGTGTTGTTTAGTTTGTTCCATTTCATCATGGTCAGCATTGGACCATGATCTATCCCCTACTGGATGAAGACCTTCCCAAGCAGTTGTCAATGTATCACCATCCTTCGAAGCAACAATCACTCTAGAACCTGCACACAAGCAGATTTCATTGCTCCGTATCTCCTGTGGAGGTCCTCTCACCTACGTTCTTTCATTTGGCTACCACTCCATTGCTGGGTGCCGCGGTGGCGAGATGTTAATTCCCTTGCCTGGTATGCAGGAGGTTCGTGGGTTCGATCCCTGCTGTATATTTGGAGTTTGCATGTTCGCTCTCCCCATGGTCGCGTAGATTTTCCTCCGGGTCCTCCGGTTTTTCTTTCCACGTTTAGAAGTGACGTGCGTTTAGAGTATTTGGCAGCTATACATTTCCACGTAATCAGCCACTTTATTGAGCTATCATTTGTGGCCAGGTTGCGTTCTAAAAAGAGCTATATATCTCAGTGGGCTTTACCTGGTCAAATAAAAATAGTACATTAGTTAAATAGTAATCTGACCACTGGCCATCATCCGTTCTAGTGTTGTGGCCTACTCTAGGCTGTAATTTATTTGGTTTATTTTCCTGCTCTTTGAGTTTGTCTGTTATCCCAATCTGTATGATGATTGTTTTGGACATACAGTATTTCACACGATCACTCCAATTGATTTGTAACCCAGGTCTCCCTTGAAAAGCAGAAGCAGTTACATTGTTGTAAGTAATGTACTGTACCATATTGACATTGATTGATGCACTTTACACGTTGTTTTAGTTTTGCCCAATTTTATTTATGTTGTGCTATCATCATTGGATGAATAATCTATTCAAAACTCTTGCAGAACGGTGCAAACTCTTGTTTTATTACCAAAAAGCCCACAGAAGGGAGAATTAGTAGAACTTTTTCTGAAATCTCAACCGACCATTGTTATCTCGCGCACTGAGTGCACTTCTCCACATGCCCTATGAGAGAGAAACACGTTTCGCATACCAGTCAAACTGATATTTTGCATACCAAAAGTGTCGTGGCTTGATGGTCCCGATGCTGATGACCCAATGAGAGTGAAACAATTAAATCTATTACATTGGTTTTGAACTTCATTTGATTTTAATCTAATTGATTTTAATCAAATGAAGTTCAAAACCAAAAAATGAAGTTCAAAACCAATCATCAGCATCGGGACCATCAAGCCACGACACTTGGGATACCAGTTTAATAGCAGGTGGCTGAAAGCCAGATTCAAAACCCGGATCTCAATGGTGCGATCTCGGCATTTTGGCTCCTAAGCCACCCATCCACATCAGGAGTTGATTCCAGTATTTCCCTGAAACAGATTAAATGTTTGCCCTCCTGTCATTAAAAACGGCTTCACAAGGGGCATCCTCTAAGTTGGATTTCCATGTTCAAGCTGCCTGGATATCCAGACTCGCCAAATTGCCAGTTTTCACAAATGAGTGCTTTACATTCATTTCAGCGCACCAAAGATTACGCCTCCCCAAGAAAGCCGATTTGGAAAGACTCACCCTCACGACTTCACTGGACCTGGCAAATTAGTACCTCGTTACTACCCCCACACAACAGCCCCCTGGTTTCAACCTACCCAGGAAGGAGTGGTCCACCCTCGACAGGTTCAGGACCGGTCACTGCCCATGCCTCGAAAACCTCCACCGATTAGACATGAGAGCAAGCATGTGCCTTGTGGGGTGGACCAAACCATGCACCACATTCTCGAAGTCTGCTCAATCCACAAACTCAGCGGAGGGCCTCTAGTCACCCTCAACACAGCAGGACCAGAGGCAACCGCTTGGCTTAGGGACTTTGCATTCGCTAAATAAATAAATGTAAACTCTACGACTGCGCCGGTTGACGCTGTTGTGCCGTGGGCACCACGGTGGCGATATATGAACTACCTCGCCTGGTATACAGGAGGTCGTCGGTTCGATCGCGACCCTGACGCCTGTACATTTGGAGTTTGAGTGTTCTCCAATTTGGTCGCGTGGATTTTTCTCCGGGTCCTCCAATGTATCCCTCTACATTTAGAAACATGCGTTTAGATTATTTGGCTGCCATAAATTTCCACATGATAAGCCACTTCTTTGAGGGCCAGGTCGCTTCTGAAAAAGAGCTATAGAGCTCAGTGGGCCTTACCTGGTAAAAACAAAAATGTTGTTTCGTTTTTAGTATAATTTTCCAATGTGTTTCCGGGTCATACCACGTGTTGTTCGGCACGATGTCAGACGTTTTGCTGCACGTGGTGGGAGTTACAGTAAATTTACGAACTTGCTATCCGCAATTTTGGCGATACTCAAATCACATATGGAACTACGCGACTGCGTCGAGAGCGAGAGAGAAAAAGAAAGGTGTGAATCACCTGTAATAAAGCAGGCATAAAGGTGAATTGTGATGTCATTCACAAAGAGAAAACCTTTACTCGCAAAGATCACTTCCCAAGCTCGACGTCCCAACATTTGAAAAAGACTTGCAGCTACAGTACTCTACATTTGGAGAGGCACTTTTCAAAGTTTTAAGTCAGTCAAGTGACTTGCCCAGACATGCTGGGCCAAACTGACAGGTAGCGAAAATAATTTCCGTACAGGTGGGTGTACACGATGCCGGTGAAGTGAGAGAAAGTTCTGGACCGTATCGAAATGTACCTGCAACATGTTTCTGTACTATAGTATGAATGCATGTTGAACATCTTCGCACGGTATGTACATAAAGCGTTTGTTCGATTATTTTTGGCGGTTTGCGACTCCTCTCGCAGTCCGTGGCACACGGCACCAAATAGAAAATCCATCGTGGAGTGCAAACCGCGATCTGTAGAAGAGAAACGTGGAGGCCTGTTTATTTTTAAATTCGGAATTTTTTTTCTGCTCCTGCACAGAATGGTTGTGCTCCCCTGATTTTTTTAATGTACAAAATTATTGAGCAATTTTTATACTTGGATGAGTTGTAAAAAAAAATTTCTCTAACGTCGACCTATACGGCAGACTTGTGCTTTAGGATCTTATAAAAAAACGCATAACCTCGCGGTTCGCGAATTTATTACGGATTTTTTTAATGCACTATTCACGTGCTTGTGTGCTCCACTGTAAACAGGGGCACACCGCATTGGCAAGACATTTTGCTTGCGAATTATAGAAACTTCACGGATTACATGGCCTGCGATGCAGTCTCCTCCATATCAACACCGATTATTCGAATTATCTGCTGTAACATAAGTTACCTTTATTTATATCCAGTTGAGAAACAGTTGAGAACCGAGAGCCATCTTTGCAAGGGGAAACCTGGGTCAAAACAAATTGTAAACTACGGCAAATCAAATTATTCCTTTTCTCCACAACGTTTTCATGGATAAGAGCAGTGATTTGGCAAATTCATGATTTTCTGATTATTTTTTTTCCCCCGTGGATTATAGAATCCGCAATATTGGTCCCCCACATTACTGTTGATGACAGTAGTTCTGTAAACAAAGCAAGAGGAACAACGTCTCACATCAGTGGGAAGCGAGCAAAATAACACGTCTTTACGTACGGATAATTACTAAATCAGGTTTGATCCAGCCTAAATGTACAAACAAACATGAGCACAGAAATATGAACGAAACCTTAACATGTTCGAAACATTACAATAAACCTCAGGAACAGTATACACATTCAAAACATGATAATAGGTTTTTCCCCTTTTTTATGGCAATTAAACATGTTAAAACACCAAACTGAAACTTTTGACAAGGAATCATGTCTGCATTAACCACAACACTTGTGGTCAGAATGCAAAAAAAAAACATACTCTGATAATATATGTATTGTCCTTGAAACTGATTGGTCCACACCAGAGACAGCTTTCTTTTGAGCCTCGTCTCAAACGGTGTTAGACCAGAGGATGCCAAAAGGCGTCCTCTGTAAAAGGTTTCAGTTTGGTGTTTTAACATCTTAACGCCTGTTTTGTTGCCAGAAAAAAGTGAAAAAACCTATTATCATATTTTGGTACTGACAGAGGAGGTCCCATGGTGCAGACATTCAAGTAAATGAGAGATCACAATAAATACTACCCCGTATATCTCTCATTTAC